ATTGGTACACTATATATTTTAGAACAGTCTTTCAGTAAAGAAACTTCGGCTAAAATGAAATAGGAACTTATCTGAGGGACAAAATGACAAATCCTTCGGTAATATAGGAAAATGTCTGCGGCAGGATATTGACTCCAACATGATTATCTCCAGACGCACTTAAAACTGATTGGTTTCCTTCCATTTTGTGAAAATGGAAATATGTTGAAAGGATATTTTGCTGTTAGTAGTAGACTTATCGTGATAAATTTTCAGCTTACTCCTGTTTTTAAGGAAGTTTCCTATTAAATTGCATCGTTCAGATTTTCATCATTATGTAATGATGTTACGTCTACATGTACAAGAAAAAATAATAAATTCTTTTTTATTTAATTTTCCTCTTTGAATTCCAGGTTGTAAATCTTCTTTCGTTATACGCGAAAAAATTGTTTTTTTTTTCGCTTATAAACAAATTCCTACCATTCACCTAATCCACGTTTACTTTCTGAATATAGCTACAAAGCAACAAATTCATTTATCAGTAAAATTACTCAATTTCATTGGTTATAACTGTTTATAACAGCGTTTCTCAAACTGTGGGGTGCGCCCCCCTTTGGGGGCGTGATAACTCTACGAGGGGGGCGCGAGCATATTGAAAAGTCGAAAACAAAAGGTTATTAAAAAATTATCAATTAACTGAAAGTAAACAAAAAAAAACACTTTCTGATATAAGAAAATATAGAGTACACATTTACACTGATGTAATATACTTATAAATGTATCAGTACTGTATAATGTATATTTTATTATTAATTTTTAAATACTAAGTTAAGAGCAAGTTTGATAATTATCAGTGACCCCATGGGCTTGTATTAACAATTATCTTGATAATTTATACGGTTTATAACTAATTCCTTAACTACCGATTAAAGGCTACGTGTTTCGCTCCTCAATGCCACCGCTTACCACGTAGACGAACGTATTTTTATGTTTTTTTTAGTAGGGGGTGGAGAAAAGAAATAAATAAGTAAATCCTCTGAAATAAGTAATTCCTTTACAAACACTGTCAAGGTCCTTGTATTGCATTCCAAAGCCTCCGGAATACATTTATGGATAGCACTGCACAGAAAAGATCGTACTTCGGAAAGACGTATATATGCATCCAGAAAATTAATGCTTTGGCTGAGCGAGACGTTTATATACGTCTGTGAGGTTAAAGTCGTATTGTAGCTTTAGTGTCAAAGTATAGTATTATAGAGTTCAATACATCAATACATTGTTATTGTATGGAGGGGGCGCGATGAAAATGATGATTGAATATTGGGTCGCAAATAGTGAAGGTTTGAAAAGCACTGGTTTATAAGACTGTACACATACTACCAAGACGTGAAATCTTCCAAATATACTAAATGCAACAGAATGTATTTGTTGTTTTAGGCTTTATGTAGGACCAGTCACGAAATACGCTCATTTTAAATCTTGACTAAATCAATTATGTGGTCCAGCTATGCTTAATGACCACAATTTATAAACTCAACATGCATTGAGTGGAAAAAGTGCTTTAATACCACTAGGTATAAAGATCGCAATCTTGTGTTTATTTGTTACCAGCCATTTTTGCCGCATAGTCAAGTGGTTATGGTCACGAACTTGTTGCCGGTGTGGTTGAGACACGTCTTCGATGCCACTGAAGACTTGCCGTATAGGGGGGATTATGCACGTTAAATCTGTTGTAGTTCAAAATACTCGCATTGGTGAGGAAGTTCGCCGTATAAGGAGGTATCATTTGCGAACTTCATCATGCTTTAAAAGTTCGTGGTCTGCTATTTATACATCTCGTATTGCTTTAAGCAACGAGTGAATATACACTTACTCCCCCTAACGGCCATGAATGTTGTGTTAATCGCTCTGAATATTTCTACATTTACCTTCTGTCTCAGAAGCTCTGTACAATGCATCCAAAAGAAGAAATCTTACTAAATGTTGCAGGAAAAAAAATACGTTAACCTTGGATTTTTGAAGTTATTCACAATGCCTACTATTAGCTCACACTCTCTATTTATTTATTTATTCATTTATCTTGATGGAATTTTGAATCGTTAAGAAAATACATTTTAAAGCGCTCAATTGAGCTGGAATTTTATATACATGGTTATTTTGGATGGCAATACAGTAATTTAATTATAATGAATAAAAATTAATTGATTAAAGCTAATTATTTAAATAATTACAAAAACAGCCACGTTGACATCATATTTGGTGACGTAGTGACCATTTTGATGATTTATGTCAATTAATTGATTAAAACGAATTATTTAAAGAATTACAAAAACAGCCACGTTGGCATCATTTTGATGACGTAGCGACCATTTTGGCGACTTGTGTCAAAACTTGAAAATATTTTCTTTCTCACGTTTTAAAGAATTCAGTTGAATTGAAAGTTTATATACACGATTGTTTGGGATGACTATACGATACTTTAATGGTAATTAATAATCGCTTAATGTTGTGATTCTGTCATATGTATATGCATATTTATACTGATTGTAAAGTATCTAGAATAAAGATTTTCTTTGATCTAAGTAGGATTTAACTTAAAAAAATTTTCTTTATATTACTTGTTTTTACATGTACTTTAAATTAAAACATCAATCGCACAGAACCAAAAAAAAATAATTTCAAAAATTGAATAAAGGGATACTTGATTAAAATCCAACGTTGAGCTTCCATAATTTCAAAATTACTTTCAAGAATTCAAAATGGCTTATAGATGTTGAGTGGGTGAATGTTTATTCACATTGCACTATAAAGCAACACAAGGGCTATGGGGAGGTGGACAAGTCAACGACGAGGTCAGTCAAGTGATGCGGTTAGCACCTCAGCAGGTGCACCGCTCTCCAAGCTACCACACCTCCCTAACTGGAGAATTTTGAGCCACAACAGATTAAACTTCCATCAACCCCTCTACATGGCAGGCCTTCGTTGGGTCTGGGGCTCGAACTCAGGACACGTTGACCTCGAGCTCTTGACATTGACCACCTAGGGTTCCTTCACCATTGTTTTCATCTATTCATGATAAATGTTAATACATTGTTTCTCAAATTGTGGGGCGCTTCCCCTAGGGAGTGTAATAGCCCTACGTGGGAAGTGCGAGCATATCGAAAGGTAGCGAATAAAAAATTATTTAAAAAAGTTATTAATTTACTGGAAGCAAAATATATAAAATAAATTCTGAACTATGAAAAGTGACAGAATACTTATCCCATAATTTAAAATATTTATTACTTAAAAGCAATAAGTACAAAATTTAATTTGCATATTGATAATTTTTACAGTTTAAGCCATGAAGGTCGTATTGTAGTTTTAGTGACAAAATACATTATTATAGCATTCAAAACATTGTCAGTGCACTGGGAAAGGAAGGGGGGGGCGATGAAAATTCTGATTAAAAATTGGGTCGCCAGTATTGTAAATTTGAGAATCATTGTGTCAATAGACATTAATCATTTTTTTATTGTGGATATAAAAATCATCAAATAAATATCATTTATTCTTTTTTTTAAAAAAAGAGAAAAAACTTCTTTAAAATCAGAATTCTTGTCTCTATATTTTTGCTTTAAGTATACTTTAGTAAATGAAATACTTTGGCTTTCATCTTCTTTTGATGAAATTTAAAAGTCATTTGAGACTATTTATTACTATAATTTTTATCAAAACAAAGGAATAGTAAAGATCTAATCTTACAATGAAAGCCGTAATAAATAAATGCTGCCCTGTTCATATTTATTGCATTTTTAAGAGATTAAAAAAACACAAAAATTCTGATTATGAACTATTTTTACCTCTGCAAAATGCGACATTTTTTTAATCTTTTATCTTTCTTGAGCGATGATATAAGCATCCTATCATAAATAAAAATTCTTAAGGCTTTTTTTCCCCTGGAAGTTTCTGAAAAAAATCATGTACGTCCCTGTTCAAAGAATTTCATAAGAATTCAAACAGACATCCGCAAGACGTTTCATCCCATTCAATGCGAATTTTTTTTCTAGTTAAAAAATGCGGGCTGCAGAGTTTTCTGATGGGTTGAACTTTTTATCAAGTGGCTAGCCGAACATCTCTCAGACATTTCAAGAATATCAATATTTACTTCCCATTTTGAGGTGGAATGTTCGGTCCTTTGTGATACATCTCCCTGGCGATGAACATTTTCTTTCATTCAGAAATGGAAGAAATTTCTTCGAAAGGGATGTGTCCTGTTTTTGAAAGTTATAGAACGTTAGGGAACATTCCATATGTAATTGTTAATGTTTGTACTTACTGTATACATTTCATAGTTTTCATGCTTTCCATAAATATTTACTGCAACATTTAGCGATAATATGTGTTTGAAATTGATCGGGTTATTTATGTCAACAAAGGATTCTAAAAAGCCTTTATATTCTACACATAATATATATCGTGTTTTTTTTACTTATAGCTGAATCTAGAGTCTAAAAGGCTTTTCACATGTACAAGTTTTGAACAATTTTGCAACCATTTTCGAACAATTTCTACCTAATAGCCATAGCAACGCTAAAAAAAAACTTTTCCCCGGCGAGCTGAAAAACTTGTTCCAAATAAAAATTGCTTGAAGTTCCAGAAAATGGGGTTTGACGCCGCCCTACGACATAACCAAGATGGCGGCTTCAGTCTCGTCAAACGCATCTGATACGGCGTATAAGATTTTAATGGTGTGTAATATTTTAAAGGCGTATAATTTTTTAAACAGAATTGTGCTCCAGTTCTGTTTACGCCCATCAACAAAAGCGCGAACGAAATAAAAGAAGTAATATGGGATGTTATTTTTCCGAATCCGAAAAATCGGCGAGTAATTTTTTAATGCGGAGATAAAGCATAGCTGACTTCAGAGCATATCGTTTTGTTTACGGCAACCCATCACTCTCAGATTGGGTGAGAAAAATTGCATGGAAAATGTATGTGTGATACTGCTTTAACCGTTTATCATTGAAAAAAAACTAGCTGTCTGGGTTGTGTAGTTGGTTTCTCGCAGGCTTTCTGCACCTAACGTTGCGGGTTCAAAACCCGGCCCTAGACGGTGGATTTTCCGATGCCGATAATCGACAACGTCCACTTCGTATGGTTATGTGGCACGTAAAAAACCCTTTTGAGTGCCCGTTTGGCTTATGTGCTCTCGGCACAATTAAAATTCTCAAGTACAATTTCGCATCGTAAAAGCTCAGGTGCCTCCCTCTGAGGAGGAAACTGGGCGTCAAAATTACTTGTGACAACTGGTATCACCTTTATGGTGCCTCAATAAAATTTGATACCAGCTCTTGGGGAATGAACATGGTCTGCAAAGGTGAAAAAAATAATAAAAATATGCCTGCCCCCATTAGAGGAAAAATATTGAGAGAGAGAAAAAAAATAGATTTGAATTGAATTTAGTGATGCAGATGTGATTATACTTTAATACTTTTAAGGAATATACATTGCTGGCCACCTTAAATGCAACAGCAAGAAAGACAAGATATAGCACAACAAAATTTATTTTGTAGATAACATGTTGACCAAGTATCAAATGATTAAATTTATAAACTTCTGTGAAATATGGTTCCTGCCAGAATCAGTAGCTATATAGAGTAGCCGCCATTGTTGTAGATCACCGCTGTCAGACGCCTCGACATTATTTAAAGAGACTTTGGATGTGTTCCTGGGTACAGCAGACCAAGCAGCTTCCACACCGTTCCAAAGTTGATCTGGTGTTGCAGCTGGGGGTATAATTTGGGTCAATTGTTGAGCAACCATGGGTCACATGTTTTCTGTCGACGAACGATCCGGAGAGCGAGCCGGCCAGGGAAGCAATTAAATTTGGTGATTGATGAAGAACCTTTGGACAATGCGTGTCACGAGAGGCCCTAAAGGTAAGGAAGGACAACTGGCTCCAACACCTCAGTGATGTAGCCTTAAATGTTTAAAGTACCAGCAATACGTACTAGAGGAGTGCTAGAGTGACATCCAATACTGCCCCATACCATAATACCCAGTGCAGGACCAGCGTGGCGGTGCATAAAGCAGCTGTTCAGCATCCTCTCTCAACGGTGTCTCCAGACTCGAATCCGACCATCGTGGTATTGCAGACAGGGGCGTGACTCGTCAGTAAAGACAACTTCATTCCATTCTGCCACCCACATCCTTCTTTCATCGCACCATTGGTAGGGGAGATGTCTGTGGTTCTGCGTCAAGGGTAGACCAAGCAATGGACGTCTTGCGGACAGACCACTCTGTTGTAAACGGCGTTGAATGGTACGTGCATACACTGAATGATTCGTTACAAACTCAAAGTGCTGTGCTACGGTTCGTGATGTGACTGAGCTATCCGTCACTGCCATGCGCACAATTTGCCTGTCTTCACGTGAAGTGGTGCACTGAGGTGGATGCGATCGACCACGTTGGTCCGTCGTACCTTCCTGCAACCAAAAGTAACATATCCGCATTACAGTTGTTTGGTTTTGTTCAGCACGACTACCAATTTCCCTGAAAGATAATCCACAATCTTGGTAGGTCACTATCCTTGCTCTGTCGAACTCGGATACTTGATCAAAAGCTGATCGCTGTTTTCTACGAGAATAACTTGATCGATTTTTGAAAAAACCACAAGAAAAGCATAATTGCCGAACTTGAAATCGTCGAAATCTCCAGCCTTAAATATCGCTTTGAGGTGGCGCAACAGGCGTGCGTGATGTGTATCTGCGCTGAAATTCTGATCATTTGCATATCTCACCATGTTGTAAATTTCATGTTATTTGCATGCTTTCTTCTGTGTGTTGCATTTATGGTGGTCATCAGTGTATATATCATATTTCTCTTTTAATTAGTCATGCAAAATAACAATAATTCAAAATTTTAATACAAAATAGTGTAAATATATGAACATAGTATTTAACAGCTTCAGGATCATGATCCCATACAAGCGATCACTTCATATGTGAGACTGCGTTTTCCCCATTTTGAGTCGCAAACTCACACCAGTGTTATCTGAAGTTGGAGCTTATGGGATTTGAAATGACTATAAATAATAAATTTCAGCGCATTTTATAAGAAAAATGATTTTATATACATTTTTAATGCAGTTAGGCTTATCAACACAAAACAAAATAAAAAACCCATGATCCTAAACGAGTTAAAAGAATCTGTCTCTTATACTCACATGCAACTATAAATCTTATCAAAATAGCACTAGCTCTTGCAATGCATTCTTCCAACTTCTACGACAAAATAAAAAAAGCTATATATATATATAATAATATATAATACATGATTAAATATATATATATATATATATATATATAATAATAATACATAATATTGATAATTTTGTAAAAAAAGATAATATTTTATAATTTTTTAAATATATTAAGTAAAAAATAACACGTACAAAGAATTTTTTCTTAAACCTTTTTGATTTTTCAAAATTTCTACGATTTTAAATCTTTTGTATATTTCTTAATATCAAGATAATTTCATAAAATATAATAGAGCATATAAAACCAGAATTTTATCAAAATGGTGTTATTAATTCCTGATGACAAAATATCACCTGAGACTGGACACTATTTTACTCTTCATCTATAAACTTCACTATTGATTAAATGAGTTTTATACTATTATTTACAGAAATCATTCATACTTTTCTTTGTCACCTTACTTATAGATTATAGCAATGGTGAATATATTTTTTAATTAATAGAAATATAATAATATAATATGCCTTAAAATGTATTATTTTTAAGTAATTAGGATTGCCCTCTGAAATAATTTAAAAATCAGTAATAATTCAGAAATAATTTATTAGTGATTCTGTTTTAATATTTTATGTTAATAGAATCAATTCTAAAATAATGATGAAAAACAGTAAAAAATTCCAGCTATTCCAAGGACTAAGAATTAATTTTTAAGTTGTGAAGAATTTGAGCATTTATTAAAGATTCTTTGCAAGTAACCTCGTGTCTCATGAATATGGAATATGAATTTGGAATTAAAAAAGCGTTAACTATGCACCGTGAGAAATAAAAAAATACTAAAATGAAAGTCAAACATTGAATTTTCAATGTAAGGAGTTATTTTATTTAATGAAAATAAAGCCATCAAGCAGAAAGAAGATCAAAAGATCATTTTTACATTAAAAACAGATAGATGCTGTTGTACTTATAAACATGACAGACTGTCGTTTAATATAAGTGGGTTTTAGTCCTCTTTATTCCTAGCAATGTGGTATGCTGATGTGATACAAATATAAATGAAATAAAATAAATATGAACAAAAAATTAAAACAAATTTAAAATTAAAAATATTAAATTTTATTTTACATTTGAATTTAACATATAGCACGTTTTACTTAAAATGATCAATGTTTAACTTTACAAGGGATTTATCTAAATTTATTTGGTTAATCATGCATTATCTCTGAAAATTTTCACCGATGCTTTCTTTAAAGAACATTTAAGATGACTTGGTACCCTTTGAGCAAATTTCTTTATTTACGTATTTAAAAATTATATTTTAGCATTTTATACAATTTTTCTATTCAAGAAAATGATTCCAGGTGAAAATGTTCATATATTATTCACACAATTTTTAAAATTAAATTTTTTTAAAGAAATTGCGAAAATTTTAAAATCCTACTTCTTTGTAAAAATTAATTTTTTAACCTGAATTTTTTTTTTATAATATTCTTATGGATGTGTTAAAAAACTTCAAGGATCGATTTTAGAATAACTTTAATCGTTTTCGGGGAAAAATTAAAATGTTGATATACAGGCTAAAAATCAACGAAAAAGCCAACATGTCTTACATTTTATTTTTTTAAAAAAGTATTCAGTTTATAGCAAAACGGATCCCTAATTTTTTACATGCTTTATTTTTAACACGCAGGAAAAAATTGGAAGTGATTGGTAAATAATTGTCGAAGGAGTAGCAGTTTGAATGCACTAAGGTTTCGAAAAACACAAACTGAGAAAAACCACTTTAAAGTTTATTTTTCTCAAAAAATAATTATAATAAGCTTAATAAAACTAAAAATACCACTTTAAGATATTAGCTATACATTTTTCTTTAAAATAATTGCACTTTCATATTTTTCAACCCACACATTTTTGTAAATGATCATCTTTTAGAGAGTACTGACTGCACAAGAAAATTCAAGAAAAACGTTACAAATTATATTTTTTTTCTGTCACGACAGAAATTTTAGCTGTTTTTCTTCTTATAATATTAAAGTATTACATTTGTATGAAAAATATATAAGGATTAAGAACTGAAATTATAAAATTATTAATATAAAATGCCTTAATTTAAAAATTTTACATTCACACATTTCACAAAGAAAAAAAATGATTGTACGTATTGCCTCGGAAATATTCTGCGTTATATATTGCACATTCTTTTTTTAATGTTATTATTTCTCTTTATAAATTAGATTTTTTTATCAAAACGCTTTTTTAGCTTTCTTTTTTTCTAAAAAGGGGGCGTGGCTGAATTGCCTAATTTGCTTTCAAATGAATTTTTTTTTCAACTTCTAACTTTCCGACATGCATAAGTGATATATCAATCGAAAGATAATAATGCAAATAATAAGATTAAATGAAAATAAAAAAACGATATGTCTGTGATTTTGGGGGTACCATGTCCTCTTAATACTGCCCAAATTACTATGCCATTTTCGTCAGACCATTCACTTTAATGCTATTAACCATTTACCGTCGATTGGAATCAAATCCGGTCTGCTTGAAAACCAGTTTTCGTGTTGTAATAACATGGGAACATTCTCCATCACCACCCCTAGAACGTCTTTGCCTTATAAGAGGAGACAGGGTTATGTTAAGAAGTCTAATCTTTTACATTGAAAAAGTTTACTTACAGGGGCATTACTATTGTTTCTATTATATTTTGGTAAAATCTTACCTTGAGTTCCACTACATTTCTGAAAAAAAATGCATCTCTGAGATGGCTTCATTGCTAACACACCGCAAAACCATTTTGGAAGCCAGATGATGAGCTCTGTACAAAAAAAAAATATTTGCGCAATTCTTAGGTATT